AAATAGACAAAGCTTTCGGAGTGTCATTATTTGCAGATGATGGTCTTATTTGGAAAAGGGGAAAAAATTTAGAATTTATAAATAAGAAAATGCAAGAGGCAATACATAATGTTGAAGATTGGGCCTTAAAATGGGGTTTTAGAGTGTCAATATCTAAATCCAAGTTTATTACTTTTACTAATAGGAAAATAAATGCTAATATAAATCTTAAATTATATGAGGAAGATGTAGAAAAGATAGATCAGATTAAATATTTAGGAGTCTGGTTTGACAAAAAACTTACATGGAAAATACATGTAAGGAAAATAGTTGAGAAAAGTAAAAAAATTTTAAATATAATGAGATGTTTAAGAGGTAAAGATTGGGGAGCTAGTGGGAAAGTATTAAAAACGATATACATAGGACTAATCAGGTCAGTAATTGATTATGGATGTGTTGTATATAGTTCAGCGTCTAACAGTTTATTAAAAGAAATTGATAGAATCCAATATCAGGCCTTAAGAATTTGCTGTGGAGCAATGAAAACAACCCCAGTATCAGCCTTACAAGTTGAAATGGGTGAGATGCCATTAGAAATCAGAAGGAAACAACTAGCCATTAATTATTGGGCAAATATTAAAGGCCATAAGGAAAACTATCCTCCAAATATTACATTACAACCTTGTCAAGAAAAAGTAAAAAATACAAAAATTAATAGTTTTGGATGGATTATAAATAATGAGATAAGTGAGCTAGGAATAAGTCATTATTTAATTAGTCCTGTGGTGAATATTCCTGAAAATCCACCTTGGTTAACTGAAAATCCTGAAGTCGATTTAAGATTATTGGAAAAAGGCAGACAAATAGAAAAAAAAGAGGTCGAAAGGTATGTAAATAATGAATATGCTGAATTTCTACAAATATATACGGATGCTTCTAAAATGGTAAATGGTAAAATTGGAATAGCATTTATAGTTCCGGACTTAAATATTATGAAAAATAAAAGAGTAACAGACAGAATGACAGTCTATACAGGTGAGCTAATGGCTATTTTAATGGCTCTAGAATGGTGTGAAGAAACGAGAAAGAAGGAAATATTGATTTGTTCAGATTCAAGTAGTGCATTAATAAGTATTTTAGAACAGAATTCAGATACAAGACAAGATATCATATTGAATATTGGTCAATTAATTTTTAGAATCAAAGAGTTTGGATCCAGGGTAAAGTTGATTTGGATTCCTGCTCATATTGGAATAATAGGAAATGAATTGGCGGATCAATTTGCTAAAAGTGCAACGAAAAGGGATAAGGTTGAAGTAAATATGAAAATAAGCAGAAATGAAATCAAAAGTATAAGTAAAATATATTTTAAAAAGAAATGGCAGGAATTATGGGATGGAGAAGAAAAGGCAAGATTTTATTATAGCATCCAAAGGAAAGTAGGGGAATGAAGGGAAGGAAATAGAAATAGAAGAGAAGAGGATATTATATCTAGACTAAGATTTGGGCATACGGGGCTGAATAGTACGCTGAAAATAATTAATAAACATAGTACAGGTTTGTGTAATTTTTGTGGAGAGTCAGAAACGGTGCAGCATATTCTTCTAGAATGTAGTAAATACAGCCGGGAAAGAGAGTTGTTAATTAGAGAGATGAATAGTAATAAAATCAATTTAGATGTTAAAAATTTGCTGCAAAGATCTTCTGAAAATATAATTTTTAACAGCATATTTAGGTTTCTCAAGATGTCAGGCATTATGGGGAGAATATAATGATAGGACATCTAATCTATACTCCAGTCTGGAAGGTGGCGGTAATGCACCTATAAGTTGTTTGCCAACCGCCATTAAACATAAAAGAAGAAGAAGAAGAAGCTGCGCTTTTTTATTTATTTATTTGTTTGTTTATTGTGTGTGTGTCTTATTTACGGCTCATGCTCGCAGCAATGATTTGTGTTAGTGACATTATACAACAGGTTCAGTAAAACCGTGCGCTTCTGATGGCGGTCCAACCTGATCCAGCTGGACTGGACTGAAAGTTCGGTTTCTGATTTTATTTGCTTCACATGAAAATATTCATCTGCATTTAGTAAAATACAGGAGTACGCGCGCTCCCGTGAGCGCTCACGCAGCTCCGTCCCTCTTCAGTCGCAGTCGTGTAGATTTCAGCAGCTGAGTGCACGCGCTGATCTGGACTCCAAAGGCAGCAGGAGGAGGAGGAGGAGGAGGAGGAAGGAGAGTCGAATCCTCCAGGAGCAGCACGAACTCCCGAACCGAGCAGCGACCATGAGGAGCGGCTGGGTACTTCTGAGCGTCGCGCTGTTCTGCACGGTGAGTCCGGGGTTCTGCTTGGGTTCGGGTGATTAGCTTCTCTGCAGCTCCCTCATGTTGGTTTTACTGGTTCTGTCTGTGGTCTTTGATTTGGGTTTTCTTCCCGAGGAGCAACTCCCAGGAAGATGCTCAGCAGTGATGTGTTTGTTAGAGTCGGTCACCTCCGCGGGATGTTCGTGTGCGTGTGCGTGTCTGTGTGCTCCATGTCGCACTGTTATATGTCCCAACGGGTCCCTGAACACACCATTCTTTCAACCTTTATAAAAAGTTTAGTCTCATTGAGCCTCGAGGACTCCTTTACAAGAGAAACCTTATTTTAACAAAGAACACAGATGACGATAATAAACAACCATAAACATATACAATGAAAAATCAATGGAAACGTGATAAAAAAAAAAGAAAAGAAACATAAGCAGCTACATTGTAAAGTGGTGTAGAAAACTGACATGTCTGCGTTGGGTTTTCCATGAACTTATCAGATGTTTGAAGCCACTTAGAGAGGTCAAGGTCGAGAGCGTCAGCTCTTTTTACAAGATATTCCAGGAAACAGGAGCGGAGTAGGAGAAGGTCCTTTTGCCTAGTTCAGTCCTCACTGAGGGAACACTGCAGGTAATAATGTCCTGAGAGCGCACGCTGTAGCTGCACTCACACAGAGACATGTAGGAGGAGATGTATGAAGGCAGCAGACCAGGAAGTGATTTAAAGATGAAAATGTACCAGTGAGAGAGTCTGTGTGAAGTTAACGGTGACCAATTAACCAATTAAATTAATGGTGACCAGTTAACCAGTGAATACTGGGTGCAATGGTGGGTACGGTAGTTACAGCCAGTTATGAATCTTAGTGCACCATGATAGACAGCATCCAACATCTGCAGGGTGACGTCACAGTGACGTCACGACCGCCGCAGCATGGCCGCACTGATGGGAGCTCCGCTTCGACTCTGTCTTTTTTTGCTCCTCTTGTTCTTGTTTTAACCTTTTTCTTGCACCTACACCGCACACCCGCACTACGGGTATGACCTTGACACACACGTGGAGTTTTGTGTGTCACTGCCTTGCCATCATCCCGTCCTGCCATCATGGTTCAGTTCCCGGCCCCCCTCCAGCCTCGGGCTCAGGCTCTGGGCTGTCATGGTGGCGGTCTCCTGATCCTCCATCTGCCTGCACGGACCAAACTCTTCGGACCCATTCGGTTCTGCGGGGAAACCTGGGATGTTCTGTCTGCCGGACCTGGTTCTGGACTGCAGTCTGTGAGGGCAGCTGCTGTGGTCATTATTACCATCAAGCTGCTGACCGGATCTGCTAACAAGACCACGCCACTAACCAAATAGATGTCCATATGTTGAAAGAACCTCACTGCTAACCGAATCACACTGTGGATATATTTCTTTTTCAGCCTTGTTTTTAGTATTTTAGTAGTATTTTCATAATGTTTTTCAGTCAGAATCAGAGATTCTTTGTCATTCGCATCACATGTGGTACATGTGGTGGAGCGAAATTATGTTCACAGGGTCCCAGTTACATCCAATAATAAAATGTAAAAGAAAAACAATGATAACATCTAAGGTGTGAACTAAGAAAAACATCAGCTAAAGATGCACTAAGCAATAATAGCATAAAAACATTACGTCAAACATCAGCACAAAAATGAGCTCTGTGAGCAGATGAACATGCATGAACATATCAACATGAAACATCAGCAGCAATAATTGAAACAGATC